CCCCTCCCCCAACCAACGCTTAATGGCATCAGAGGATGAAAAAGTAAAGTCAGTAAAGTAATAATGAATACTAGTTCAGTACTTACAAAAGGCCATCCCACAGAATGCTCCACCCGGCCCGGCTCGTGCAAAGACGGGTCAATCTCCCACAATTCCTTCAGGCCAATACCGTACGACTGCGGCTCACAATTCGCTCGTAGATTGAAGTTACTGAACAAAGTCTTCGAAAGAGACCCGTGACAACCTTCAGCAAACATGGTCACTTTAGCATGCAGTTCCATCCCACGCTCAAAAGAGTCCTGTGTGAAGACAGAATTTACATAAATTATATATTTATTTTAAAAAACCAAACTATAAGTAATAAAAACCTACAACAATTGATCTCCATGGGTAAACTTGCAATACAATAGCACACAATGCGGGCACTATCCATCCTTCTATCCTTTTCATTATGGCAGAGAAGAGAAAACTCATTGTTTGACCAAAAAAAAAAACAAGCATCAGATTTTAGCAGAGGTTGACAAGAAGTCCTGCACTAAAATGGATATTGCTAAAAGATTTGGCAACCCCAAATCAACACTTTCTAGGTTTTTAAAAAATCGCGATTGGACACCAACCCGATAGTTTGTGACTTTGATCATTTTTTTTACATCATAGTCTTCACATGCAGAACAGACCCGAAGTAGACCTACCTTGGGCGATCCATCTTTCGCTATTCCGACATCATTGGTAGCAATACCTTTCACACTACCGTCTTCATGATATAATACCTGCAAAACAACAGGACAGAGTATTGTTTCATGGATCAAGAGAAGCACATTGACACAATAGCAGCCATTTGAAGCAGTGATAAAGATTTCTTAATAGAAGAAAAGCAAGGTTACCCACCACACTGTGTCCATTTTAAAAGGTGGGACCCTTTTCTGTCCAAGGCCTAGTTAAAGTATTCCCAGTTCGAAGAGTTCCCATACCTATACTATATCATTTTAAGTTGTTACATTTAAAGCTTACTCAAGCAAACTATGAAGAGTATGTAAGGACTGCAATCTTAACTCTAAGAGCACTGCTCTTCTTTAGAACAAAAGACCAGTTGCATTTTTTTTTTTCATCAAATGCAGGTGTTTTATGCCCGCATTGAAACAATCTAGATCATCTTGGAGGCCAGCTGTTTCCACCATGCCTGTCAGGGTCAACCTCGGCCGAGAAGGATTCATAGTCCCAGCAGGAAAAAGGAGAGATATTTGATAAAAATTCTCCCCACATGGGAATTGAACTTGAATCTTCTGCATGTGGCACTGACAAGCCTAACCATTACACCACAGATACCGGTTCTGAGCTACTTTGGGTCAGTTGTCAGATATAAAACACTACAGACTCAGGCATACATTCAGGGTACAAAAAGGTAAAGGCAGTCATACTCAAGTACGAGCTCTGGTCCATCCAGTAAGTTTACGCTGACAGATTTTGTGCTTATTCAAATTCAAGCAGAGCAGGCCTATAAAAGTATGAAAGATCTACACTCATAAATGTGAACAAATCAGTGCAGCAATACATACACTTGACTTGTCTCCACACACCAGTATCTATGTATTTATATGAACGACATGACAAAATGGTTATCTCATATAATCAAACTATTAACTTTTTCCCTTTAGATTGCAAGCAGAGTTAAATATTCAATCATAACAGCATCAAAATAGGTGCCCACAAAAGGCAACGAAAGCAATGAATGTACATACAGCTTGGAATAAGTTAATTCTTCAACACTATTTTCGAAATTTTCACATTTTTTATATAGCGCATTCTGTACAAAGCATGTACATAGAATGTACATACCTCACTAGCTGCAGTTCCTGGATACAACTCCACCCCCAAATTCTCCGCCTGCTCTCCGAGCCATCTGATAAAGTGACCCAGTCGGATGAGGTAGTTGCCGTGGTTATTTATAGGCATTCCTGGAACAATACAAGCATTGAGTGAACTGAAGAAATAAGGGAAAATTTTTTCCTTCTTGTACTGAAAACTAAAACCAGCGCTGACCCAGAAGATTTCATGAAAAGTTCCATTGTTTGATATTTGTCATCCACGAAGGGAACAGATTTTATTGCACCTTAGTTGAAACAATAGCTGACCAGTCAGTGAGCTCAGACTAAAAATAACTTCCCAAAATCAACGTGGGCATTTCCCGTTTAGTGGGTGGTCTCTCGGGTGTGCCTTTGAGCAAAACATAACTCTTTCTAAGATACAAGGAGGTCGACAGTGACAACCAGCATTGGAGTGTTGTGGGGGGTTTTTAAATAGATATTGTAAATATTTCTTTACGTTTCATAACGGGCCTACTTAATAATTTATATATTACTTGAAAAGTGTGAGCCACAGCTTTTAATGTTCTCTCATTACTAGAGAAAAACATTCTTTAACTATTACAACAAAGACTTAAATTTGTTTAGTCTGTTGGTTCAAGTAAGGACAGGCACACTGGAAAGTTACTGTCATTTAGTGAAAAAAAAGGCAAGATAAACAGATAAAAACAGAGGGACAGAAAAGAAGTAGGACTTATCAGTGCCACAATCCAACCAACTGCCCTAAATTTGTACAACTTTTGAATCACAATCCCACTGACCTGGCAATATAGGAATGGGGAGTCGTGACTTCTCAGTCAGGAAATAAAACTTGTCTATCTTCACCTCTTGTTTCACTGGCGCCTAAAAATTGAAAACACAAATTTCACACCTAAGTGAGTGAAATGAGTGAATGAAGATTGAAAATACAAATTCACATCTCAGCGGTAAAAAGAAAATTGAAAACACACCAAATCTTATTGCATGAATTAAAAAAGAGGCACAAATTACACATCTCCAGGAGTGAAGGAATTTTTCAAAATACATATCTAACATCTCTGCAGTAAAGAAAGATGGAAAATACAAATTACACATCCCAGCAATTGAAGGAAGATCAAAAATACATATTTCATATGACATGGAGTGAAAGAAACAGGACATAAATCTCATTCCCGTGTCTATAAAACTGCATTGCAGTTCTCAATTCCACCAAAGTAAAAAAAAATAACAAGAGATATACTTTAGAAATGGAAGAATTACAAAGGCACAAACATACATTTTTGTAACTGTAGATAAAACCATCTATAAAAGAGAATGAGAGTGTGAACATGTGAGGTGTGTGCGTGAATAATGTGTGCATGTGTGTGCTGTGTGTGTGTTTTGTGAATGTGTGTGTGTGTGTGTGTGTGTGTGTGTGTGTGTGTGTGTGTGTGTGTGTGAGAGAGTGTGTGTGTGTGTGTATGTGAGTGCGTATCTGTTTGTGTGTACATGCCTGCATGTGTGTGTGAGTAAGTGCAGGTGAGTGAATGCGAGCATGTGAAAAAAAAAGGAGGTAAGAAAGAAGGAGAGTTCAAATCTTTACAAACGACATACAATACAAAATGTTTATGTACATCACAAAAGACGATATTCAGATACATACACCCATTTCTTTCCAGTCGGGAAACAATTCATTTAGACTCTTCGGCTCCATGCAGGCACCAGACAGAGTATGACCACCTAAATATACAAACAAAACCACACAAAAAATTTAATATGCTCCATTCCATATAATCAAATCATTGCTGAGAAGGCTCTGAGGTATACTTGTAATTGTAAAAAGATTTTTCTTAAAGTATTTTAAGCTTTTATGTATCGCAAATAAGAGTCGTTGACAACATTGGCGTAAGTATAGAATAAAGTGATCATCAAAATCCAGGATGCACCTATTATTCATAAGCGCCTTCTGGTCTAGAAAAAAACAAATAATTGGAAGACAAAATGACAAACTACAGGCAGCAAAAAGGCATACACAAAAGTAACTCTTTTACAGTACAGTGTGAGCTAAAAATTTTCATTCATTTTAAGTCTATCAAACAGTCACAAGAATACAACTTTCAGAGACCACAATATGCAACGCTCGCATAACCCACACTCTAACATTGACTGACCGACTTCAGATGCTTTCTCCACCAGGCAGACACGCATCTCTTCCTTCCCACTCTCGTTGGCCAGTTGCTTCAGTTTGCAAGCTGCGGCCAATCCTGACGGGCCCCCTCCCACAATGAGGACATCCACCTCGTCGCTGACTCTTTCCATATCCACATCTGAGAAGCAATAAAACAATAAAGTAGTAAAGAGCAGCACACTGACACAATAACCGTCATCTAATGTCCAAAAGCAAGACTGACAGACAGAAACTCCAGCAGGCAACAAAACAAGGATATACCAGTGGTGACCTTAAAACATCCACTTAAGCGAATTAGGAATTTATCTTTCCACATGACGTCATTCACACTACAGAGAGTATATATATATATATATATATATATATATAACAAAGCTGCAGTACTTTAAATATACCGTCAAGAATGAAATTATTTGATTGTTTGAGCAAAGAGAAGCACGTCGACAAAACAACATTTATTTAGAGCAGAGAAAGAGTGAGACAGACAAGAACAACAGAATGAAAGAAAAGAAGTGGCACCCTCCACCCACCCACACAAATATGTGTAGCATCCTACAAACCCTTCCAAGATCAAAGTCTACCACTAAAAAAAAGTCTTAAACATAGACCTTTTAACTTTTTCACACCACAACTCTTTCAACTATTGACACGCACAAGACAAAAGCACCCACACATCTTTGGAACCTTTCCAATTCATCAAATACTTCTTGAGAGAAAATATGTTTCAAGTGACATCCATAATTGCCATTTTCTCAGTATTTCTCATTCGCGTAGAAAATCTCTCTTTTAACACTTTGCAGTCACACAGCCAGCAGTACAAAATACCCTGTCTTGTCACCCAGTCAGGAGAGTGACTGCAACGGACTTCTCGGGCCTGTCGCAGAACTGCGCCAAGTGACAGGAACGGATAATTTTCACAGTCGCAATATTGCTGCAAGTGACCACAAAGTGTTACACACATGTCAAAGTATGGGATTTTTTCCAAAAGACCACAGCCCAAAAACAATATACAAGGAATCACAATTTCTAAATAAGACTATCTAACCTTTCCATCTTGGATCTTGGTCTCTTGGATGTATGGTATAGTGTGTCGTGATCTTCGGAACACTGTCAGAGGCAAAAGTCCTCTGAAACCGCAGTAACTGAACAACTGGAGAAAAAAAGTGAGTTGCATTAATTTCTTGATTTCAATTTTAAAATCTATTCTGAAAAAATTGTTTGAATGTTGCAAGAAAGGTTATAACCTCCAACCATACAACATTTTCAAGATATTATAACTCTTACACTTTACACCGTAACCCAATGGACTATTGATGGCCTTTTGAGCCTTGACAATCTTAAACAATATGGTATGAAGGCTTTGCCTGGGCAGTAGACCTTAGACATAAAGGAAGTGTATCGCCCAAGTACTACTTCCCTCCCTTCTGATCTAGACTTCCTTGATACACCTAAAGGAGAAACATCATCAGTACGTTTGGAATAAAAAAAGGTATACGGGTGAGTCTCACTGTTTCTTTTTCTTCTCTGCTAGATCTCGTGAGTAGTCGACTAGCGGTTCTTCAACCTGCAGTGCTACTGATTTTTATTTCAACTTGGTTTAGTAGGGCCCTTGTTTCAGGCCAGGCAGCCACATTCCGGTTTCAAAGGCTCCCTACATGTTTTTATACTGACTAGAGTGTTTTCAGTTTCACTTTTAGAAAGAATTTTGAATTTTGTGCGGGTGGCGGCTGAAGCCTACTCTTATCAAATTAAAGACTACCAAGAGATCTTTAACATGATGCGCAAACTTGCACAAGAAGCTTCGACATTTTTTCACCCGCATCCGATAAGGCTAGGCATTCCATCTTACCTATCCTAAGATCAGGAGTGTGGCTTAATGACAGCAGTATGAAGGAGTAGCTGCTGTAGAAAGAGTCAGTATAGTAATGCATGTTCAGGTGATAAAAAAAACCCTGTACAACTTCTTTTCTAAATAACTGGCACAAAATTTGTCCTACAATGTTGTTATTTGAAACAGATATAATTCATTCAAAAGGAATAGGGTTGACATAAAATTCACATTGAAGAAACTTATTTTCCAAGACGGAAATGGCTTTTATAAAAATCACCTATAAATGCAAAATGCACCAATTTGAAAGATCTTGTAAGGAAAGTCATATATAATGATCGATTTGTTTTTTCCTTTCCTTTTATTTTCAAAATCTAATCTTTCCACCCCTGTAACCTTTAAACAATTTTTTTCTCCTACAGAGTAAAAAAAAATAATTTTTTTAAATTCCGAAATTCTGAGAACCAAAGGTCTATAATAATATGTCCTCCTTTCGACTTGACACATTTTAATGCGTTGTTTGTAATGTTCAGTTGTGGCCAAACACAAGGATCCACTCAACCGTGAGTATTTAAAGCCACACACAATGTTCACCTTACAGTATGGAACCGTGTCTAGAGACAATAGGGGGAAGGTTAGGGTGCCCAAATAGACAGCATTTGTGGAGTTGATATAACCTGAAAGGTAAATATGTGCTTCGCCAAGGAACCAAATGTCACAGAGGAAATGTTCACGCTTTTCAAGACATTTTTATCCTATGCATTGCTGCAGATATCGTCTACGCACAGACTTCTCATGGGGTTCATCTACTGAATTCTGCACCCTAGTGACGTTTAAAGGGGTGCAAATGGTGTGTGTTTAACCTGAAGTGGTCATTTTGTCTGGGAATTTTTAGTTCTGATTAATGTACCATTTCCCACCCTTGACATCAAAGAAGACCTTAAGGGCATTTCAAATTTCAACATTATTTCTATACCTTGTGCGAAACTTAAGAAATGAGTTGGTGGTGAGGAAATATTCCAATACAAAAAGCTCTCTGCTCTTTATTAATCTTAACCATGATCTCAGCAAGCAAAGGAAACTAGAGAAAAACTATCTGCAAACTTCTGTTGGCCTGTTAGACTACTATAGTTTGCAATATGACACAATCGTTGGGGATTTTAGTGGTAAGTCTAATGTGAACTTGAGCGTTATGTTACAAAAATGGGGATATAGCTGAAATGGGTTGTTTTTATACGCGCTATGTAGAGCATAACTATTCTGTGGATTCATCTAAAATGAAAATCAGACAAATTCCGTTTGACTTCCAAATGTTGAGCACAAATTTGAAACACAAAACTTCAGTGTGGAGGAAAATGTTAACAAAAAAGGTTGCACAGGTTTTTTTTGATCACCCTGTACTTTGAAGCAATCACATGAAACATGTAATTTTTTAATGTGTAGGAATGTACTGAAAATTGTCAAGAGTACAGTTTAACAATGTTGTCAGTGGACCTGTAAACACATAATGAACTGGCAAAACAGTCTCTTAGTTAGAAACTTCTTTTGCTTCTTGTCTAACAGCGCCATATTATCTTATATCTATAATATATATACCTTTTAAGGTCTACAAACTATCAATAATATCTATGAAATTTGCAAGAAGCTGTGTATAATACGCCCTACTGATTTATAAGTAAACCTCACTTTAGATATAATAAACTCATGTACATGGCAACTTAAGTAGGCCTACATTTTATTGCATTAAAAGGTGATTGAACAATGTAACTAGCCAATTATCTCATTGGTCATTACAAACGCAGTGACTACGTTCACGGCGCCGTAAACGTAGTTTGCAGGTCACGTTCCGGCATCTTGAAGGTAGTTTGCAGGCCCTATATATAGGGCCGACCTACTTCGACTGGGAAGCACACAGGAAAGGGCATAGACGCTGATCTTTTTCAATGGAAAATTTCAGTATTCCATATATGGGAAAATGACGTGGTAAATTGCAGGTCACAGTTCTAAATAGTGACCAATATAATGACTTTGTAAGTTATCCTGACCTCGTAGAGCGTCTCTTGGCTGAGATATCGATCAATAAAGTGACTGAATAAAGTCCAGCTGAGCGACCACATGTCAAACTAGCAATGCCAACGAAAATTTTATTTTTCGCTTTAGCCCTTTTTTATTTGGTACCTAAGAAAGAATTTTCAATTCTATGAATTATAAATGCTTCTTGAATTTTAAGAATCGTTTCATAAATTTAAAAAAGTTATGGGATTGTAAATGTCAGCAAAATACGGATGACCCACATTTAGGAAAATACTCCTAAAAGTGGACCACGCAATACAGATTCTGTAAGAAAATCGACGATATCTCAGTACTTAATTAGAGTGTTAGAATGAAACTTGGCTACCCGATTTGTTTTTGGGTGGAGAAATCATTTCTGCAGTCAGTTTTACCAACTATTTCATAGTTATTTCATTATAATTAAAGTTTTGGGGTACATATTATGGTTTTGCGAAAAAGGGGGTGTCGGGAAGAGAGCATTTTATTTATACCATCATATCACAATATGGGATCTTTAAGAATATGTTCGCAGCGTGACTAAATAATGGGCAAAGCTTTTTTTTTATGACTTTAGACCATGCTAACCTTAAAATATAACTTAATAATTCAATCTAGCATGCCGTACAATAAAAAACTCTCTTTTCCCGTTGAGACGCGAACACCCCGACGCGCCTCAGAATACTTCCATTAGGATGTTACAGGGGAACAGAGAAAAACAACTGGATGCGTGAGCCTGCCAATGCCCTAATTCAAGTGACCAATGAACAGGCTCGGAATAGTCACGCAGGGATTAGTAGGTCACATACATTTGCCGATGGAGAGAGGGGAAAATAACCCGTCCTTCTATTGTGATAAGTGAAAAAAGTAAATCTAGCATTGGTTTGAAACGGCAACGGAGAGAGCGAAATGATGGTCGTAAATCGCAGGACTAAGTCCAACATTTTGACCCGACGGGAAGTGCCAAATTTACTTCCAAAAGCGAAATGAATTTAAGTTTTTATGCTCATACTACGCAACACTCATTTCTACATTGGTTTTAGCCGTAATTTGCGAAAATTGAAGAAATTAATAGTAGATTCGAGAGTCGTTTGTGATGCACCCCTCCCGCGGAGTTGCCGACATCAAACGGACGAAATCATTTCTCGGAGATTTACAGAAAATCATGAGGACTTTCCGCGAAGCGGAGGCTAAAAACCACTTCCGTTTTGCGCCCTTCTTTCATTTTTTTTTTCTTTCATTCTTTAGCGTCTTTTCCGATGAGGTGGAAGTTTTGTCTTGCTTTCCAAGTTTTTTCTTTCTAAGACTATAGCGCGCGAAACACAACAACGTTGGAAACCATTACAAATCCAACCCAATTACATGCATTTATCTGTCATATTTATTATGTTTATATTGATTGAAAGACTGCAACACAACGTGTAGCACGTATAGGAAGTAAACAAATGATGTTAGGGACAAAAATAGCACTTTCTTTTTGTGATTAGTCTTGTTTGATGCCGATAATACTTTGAGGCGTCCAGATCGTTGCCGATGATGATTTCGTGGTCTCATATGCTGTTCCGACTTTCGAAGACATTTTTTCAACTGATTTCTTTTTCTTTTAGTTATTCCCTTGTTTATTTTAATTTTTATTATTTTAATTTATAGTGTACATAATGATTTTTGAGGCCAGTGAATTTAATTAAATGGGTTATTTATCAAATTTGGTGATATTCATGGATTGTGTTGTTTGCACCAAGGTAAGGTTACATTTCATTAAATAACTTTTTTCAAGAGCCTTTGCTGTCTCTCTACTAACATTTTTAAATTCCTCTTTGAAGGACCTTTCAATTGAAATAAAATACATATATATATAACCTTTTGAAAAAGTTCAAAATCCTGAAAAAAAATTGGGAAAGTGGGAAACATGTGGGTCTTCATCGTGAAATCCCCCTTATCATCTTGTGAAAGGCTCATTCTTATTCTATCAGCTTTGAAAAAAGATAGGTTTTATATATATATGCCTTTTATCATCTGTTGAGCCATGAATGGTCCTTTTTCGGTAGCAGGTATACATCTCTGCTAATATCCCCCCGACAAACCCCCATGTTTACAACTGATCAGTCGTGGCAGCAGGGCATTTTGGGCGGGTTACTTCCGGTGAAACGCTGAGCGCTTCTAGGGTTAAGCCTGAGACTGACTACAACTGGGGCTCTTGCCTGCTAAGCGCATGCACGGCTGACTTAGACCTGCAGGGGCACTCTGTCTAAACAAAAATTTGAGGGCCGTGAACATAGTCTCCACAGCGCCTGCAAACTACATTCACACCGCGCAGTGACACTGTGGGCGGGATCTCTCACTCTCCCCCTCTCTCTTTTTCTGACATAAGTGGCTTCGCGGATTGCAAGCAGGGTGGGGATGATGAGGGGGTCTGACACGAGTGGCTTCGCGGATTGCTAGTTGCTGTGGACTTGAAGTTTAGACTAGACCCAGGAGGTTACAGTTTGCACTAGACTCAACTTATCATGCTGGTGATTTGATTTGATGATTTGACCTTGTGATTTGAGGCTTGTGACTTGAACTAGGGGGTTGCGAGCACGAGCGGGTATGCTACCGGGGTACAGCCCTAGTAGCCAGAAGCCAGAGGTGTGAAATTAGTTTCACTGACCGTACGCCAGCCGAGAAAAGAGTTCCTCAAATCGTTGTTACATGATGGCAGTGAGGGGTGGCATTGGTTGACTGTGTTTGTTACACCGATGGGTGGGGCTAAGGGTGGAAGCAAAGGTAGCAAGGCCCACGCAGCGCCGATGAGTGTGACCGAAATCGGGAACTCCCGTATAGGCGCTGCGGGCTTGTTTTACCGGACCTGTTTTCTCACGGTGCCCTATTTTCATTCACTCGTACGTGCTTGTTTCTCAATGGATGAAAGCGAAACTTGGCAGCCAATGAGAAAAGAGGTCAAACTAGTCACATGCGAAAAAGAAAACGTGTAGGTTACTTGGTTATGGTGCTGTTCGTGTCCAAAGTTTGAGCCCTCGGCTACACCACATCTGGGGGAATTTTGGATTTCTTTTTCACAACCTTGGTTGACAACCTTTTTCCTTTATTGCCTTCAAATTTTATTAATGTATGCTGCATACTTTTTGCGCACCATTGCAAAACACCACCCAAACTCGACTGCATTCGGGCATTCCGCTGAGTAGGTCGGGCTAGCCGGCGTCGAGTGGAAAATTCCATGACGTCATAAAGAAACAGGTCGGGAAAAGTCTACTGCGCGAGACAGACGGGGAAACCATGTTCACCAGTTCGGCTTTTCAGGAGCTAAAAAGCACTTTTTAGGCTTTATCTTTATGCCTGCATCAAATTTATTTGCTTTGGATATGATGGAAAGACTTTCTGCATACAAAAAAATCGGGGAGGAGAGATCACATTCTGTGTTATCGATCCATGTCGACGGTTCTCTCGATCCTGTTATTCCCCTGACCTAGATCTACATGGACTCGTCAGTTTCGTGCCAAGGAACAAGAATTATAATAGTACATAGTTATAGTAGCTTACATAAATTCATAGAATGGCTTTCTCGTTAGCAAGGAACAAAATATAGATTAAATCTAAAGAATTGGTGACTGAGGGGTCTTTTTTATGTATGATTACTAGTATTTTCTACCAATTTTGTACCGGTACGGAGATGGGTAAACTTCTGAAAGAAAAAAGCATTGTGGACACCGAGCTGGAGCCACAACCACGTTCTGGGGGGACGCATCTGGTGTATTTCAAATGCTAAGGAGGTTCAAGCAAAATTTTAAAAATTCAAATAAACCCAACATGGTCAGTACACTTTCTCTTATCTTCTGTTCCATTTTAGATGTTTGTTTGCTTTCATTCACTATCTGTTTTTGGTGCCTGTACACAGAGCACACCTGGTATGTTATGTATACTATTATTATACACAAAAATATTGCAAGAAAAGTTAATGGATATCCCATTTTAGTAATATGATACCCAAGGTACTTTTTCAATATTTTTGCTCACAGTGATAAAAGAGCCTCTCATACAAAAAAAAATAACAGCAGATTCCACAGGAAAAAATACAAAAGGTAGCCAAGTTTATATATATTTTAAAAAATAAGAAAGTAGCAAAAGTTTCAATGTTGGCCGCAAGCCCTTGGCCTAAAATTTCTATGAATTTTTTTACACATTTCCCCTGATATTTTAAAAACTACTGCAGATGCATCAAATATCTTTATAGAGGTTCTGCAGGAAAAACTACAATAGGCTGCCAAGTTTCATTCATGTATTCCGTTTACTACGGAATTTTTGATAAAAAAATGCCTCAAAACACCCAAAAATGTGGACCGTGTTTTGGGATTTTTTCCTTATGAGAGTCACCCCCAAAAAAAATTCATTAAAAAAATCATAACTTTTTTATTTATGAGAACGAATTGTCAAAATTCAAAAACTGTGTTACTCAGCAGAGATAATATAAGGCTATCATATGCACATTGTTTTGTTGGCTTTAAAGCAAAAAAAAAAAATTTCATGGTTCTTGCTAGCAAAGGAGATGTTCAAACGTTTCTGGGTAAATTTTTACTTTCACTCCCGCACACGGATGCATTGTTTCAGGGGTCAAACTGCTGTACTGTTTGCTGCAGATCACACATATAAAGCCACTAAAACAGTCGCAAATCAATTATTTTCAAGACAATTTCAAATCTAACTGTAAAATATCAAATTATGGGTAAAAACAGGGTGAACCCCCCAGATTTTCTTTTACCCCAGTGGGGCAAGCCCCCCTGGAACCCCCCGATTGGTCCAAAGCATGTCTATCTCGGTTAAAAACAATCAAATATTTAAAAAACTATTAATTTGCGACGGAAATGAAGTTGATATTCGTGTTCAGCGCATCAATATTTAGTCGAAAATAGGCATCTGGTAGCTGAGTGTGAGACGGGAGGGAAAGTAAAAAAATACCCCTTTCTGTTTTTATAATAGGTCAAAGAGTGGTCCTATGAAAGGCTAGCACTGGTGGTAATTGGATAAGTAAGAGTGACGCATGATGTCATTATCAGACAGGAAAGCAGTTGAGACGCGTGAAGTTTTGACCACTGGTGGCCAATCGGACAAGAGATCCTTGATCCCACCGGCAGGGCCTTTGAACAACACACCCCCCCCCCCCCCCCCCTCCATCTCCCCCTAACTAAATTCCCCAGTCTAAGACGGAATTTTTTTCTGGCTCCCTTGCGATTCCGTCTTACACACAGGTTCGACTGATATATCTAGCCTGCATCAGTGCTAGTACTAGTCATTCTGTCATAAAGTAAAGGAATCTTTAGGCTAGTCCAAGAAGTCATTTCAAGTTCAAAATTGATTAGAGCCTCTATAAGACAAGACTAAGACTAGACAATACTTTACAGTAAAACAAAGTAAAGATTTAGGCCTATAGAGTCTATATTATAGATTAAAAGAGGGTCAAGAGATGTCTTGTGATATTCCTCTCTGTGACTGTACCCTGTCGATGGTCTTTATTATTTTGTAATGGGTTTTCAGAATAAACTGGACTTTGACCTGAGCGATCCGCCGCAAGCCCTGCAGCTGTGACTCTTTTCACGTACTTGCACAACAAATTATGAGAAATAAACTAATTGAAAAAACGGCTAAAGCTGGAATTATTACTCGGAAACACTTCAAATTCGGCACATCTTAAATGTAAGCAATTTTCAACTTTGAAAAATGAACATTGGAAGCGTCATTCGGTTACATTAACTTTACCCTTGTTCAGCAACTGTTTGCGGTTCATGTAGGTCGCCATGATTGTTTGTTGAATAAAAGCAGTTCTATTTTCAATAAGCTGTTATGAAAAAACCCAATGATATAACAAGACACCTAGATGTATAAATTAAGGGGGACAATACTCCAGCATTCATACATGGAGCCGGAAGTAATGGAAGCATTTGAACGGGGACTATCGTTTTTCGAAATATCATCCCAGAACGAACAGCGAGAACAACGATAACAGAAACATAAAAATGTATCCACACACCTTTACTTTTTATGAGTGTTTGTGTTTGTAAATATAGGTGTGTGTGTGTGTGTGTGTGTGTGTGTGTGTGTGTGTGTGTGTGTTTGTGTGTGTCTGTGTCTGTGTGTTGTGAGTATGTGTGTGTATGTGTATGTGGTATAGAATGATGAAGCGTCCCTTGCAACACTGAACCATTAAAGAATGCAACAACAAGCAGGACCTACAGATCTATAAGAATATCTTTCCATCTCCGACAGCGGGTGTGTCCAAGTCTATTAATTTTTGCTAGATCAGGGTTATTCAGTATTATTGCGGTGATCGTAAACAAATTACAAACAATTATAAACAATTAAACAAACAAACAAACAAACGCCAAACTAATTCGACCTATCTGAGAGAAAAAAAATTTCATGTGTTGGTTTGTTTGTTTTGTTTGTTGTTTTTTTTGTGGGGTTTTTTTTTTTGGGGGGGGGGGTGTGTGTTTTGGTGTGTGTTTTTTTTGTGGGGGTGTTTTGCTTTGTTTCTGTGTTATATTAAGGACGAACTAAACAGAGTTTCATTTTAAGGAATTTAGACCCAGCAGAAGCATGGCTAGACGATTTTGCTCTTATCCGATCAGTGTCTCCACTTCAGCTGATCAACTAAACCAATTAAGAAATTTCAAAGGCTGTAGATTGCATTTTTTATAAAAATTAATTAATAAGCCATTTCTCAACCCTTCACATTGTTCGCATAATTCTGTTTCAAGATATAGCCTGGGGCCATGATAAGATATAGGCCTCTAGGCCTAGATCTGGAAATTAGATCCAGAATATTGTTCTAAATTAATTAAACTTATTTTAGCTCTGTGGTCTTCTGGTGAGTCTACATAAAGCTGGAGAACAAACATTTTTTTTAATTTGGTCATTAATTCTCTAGCCTATATAGTCGAAACAGTGACCTACTTGATCACCCCCC